ATTATAAACATTCCTGGGCCTACACAGATAGACTAATGTGTTCATACACACACACATATACAGAGTCCCCCCAAGACTACTAAACATTGTTAAGTACCTTTTTTTAAACATAATATTACCATGGGCATATTTCTTAGTACATACATATAGCCTTGTTTTATTCTTGACTTTTTTTCTCTCTCTCTCTAATGAATGCTTCTATTGTCCCTAAAATAATTGTCCAGGATTAATAAACCAACTTTAACGGTAGAACCATTCATAAGGACACTAGGATACCTGGTAGCTCACAGAATTGAAGCATGTACCAAATTGACAAGATTCCATCAGACATCAGGACAGCTCTGAAGACCTCAGTAGCAGGAGTTCAGAGATGTTTTCTCTAGTGGAAGACTATGAATGTGACTCCGCTCCAACCACTTTCATTTTCTATAGCTCTGCATTCACGGTTGAAATCTTCAGAACAGAAAAGCATTTTTGGTCACTTTGGGCAGCATCTGTCCCTTAAATAGTCAGCTATTGTCATGGGAGTAAGGGCACAGAACCTAGACATTGGCCTCTGGTACCCTTCCCAGGACCAGCAGAAAAACCATCCCAATCAACGTCTCTTTCCAGGGAGGCTCTGGTTGCTTTATGTCTGGTCTGTTCCAGTCTCCTAAGTCCAGAAAATGGTCCTTTTAACCTTTCTATTCACAAGTAGTTCTTGAGCTTTATTTACATGTAAGTGAAAAAGGATTTTTTAAAAATTCCCTCAACAGTCTTGAATGCAATAACTGACTTTCTTTGAGTTTAGAGCATTGTAGTGTGGATGACTCAAACAACAGATTGAATTTTCTTAGTTCTGGTGGCTAGAAAGTCTAAGATCAAGTTGTCAACAGATTCAGTAAATGCAGAATTTCAGTTTTATTTCGTGTCTCTAATTGTTTTCTGTAGCTTTTGAGATTGAATCATGAGGCCTTCTAGTGATCACATGTACCAGGCATTACAAAAGTTGTTAAATAAAACTGTTCCTGTTGGTTGAGTCACCCGCAGTAAGGTGAAAGGTGGGATTGGGGATGTGATTGGTAGAAAAGGAGGGAGGTTTGCTTATGTGGAAACACAGAAGTTTCAGGGAGAATACTACGAGGTATTTTAGCAACTATGGCTCAAGAAAGGAAACTGTGTTAACGTGATGTCTCTGTCAGTTCCAGCTGCTATAACAAAATACCATATGTTGGATGACTCAAACAACAGAGATTTAATTTTCTTAGTTCTGGTGGCTAGAAAGTCTAAGATCAAGTTCTCAACAGATTCAGTATCTGGCAAGGGCCCCCTTCCTTGCAGACCACCGGCTTCTCACTATGTGTTCACATGGCCTTTCCTTGGTGTGTGTTCTTAGTAAAAGAGATCCCTGGTATTTCTTCTTCTAAGGGTACTGATCCCATCAAAGGGGCCCCACCCTCATGACCTCATCTGAACCTAATTACTTCCCAAAGGCCCCACCTTCAATTATTATCACCTTGGGGTTAACATATGAATTTTGGGAAGACACAGCATTCAGTCCATAATACATAAGCATATGTATTTGAAACTGCTCTTGTGTGCTCTTAAATATACTAGACTACTTAGGATACTGTATTTGTCAACAGTGTCTATACCTCCCAGAGTTGGCCCTAGGGAGGGAGTTCAGCTCTTGAGGATCATAATGAACCTCTGTTGGTTTGGTCACAATGCTTTAGGCCCATCTTGAAGATTGTCGGCTGTCCCTGTAGCCTATCAGGTTGGGTTGTTTCTAAGTAACTGTTCTCAAATTGATATCATAACTGCTGTCCAGAAACTGTCCTTTCTGCTCACCTTGTAAAGAAGACAACATTTACACATGGAAAAGTTTCAGTTCATTATAAGATGGGTTTTGGTGAAGTATAGGCAAGAGAGTAAAAAAGTTGATTTTGAGAGGCACAGTTTTGACTTGGCAGTCATCTTATCCTGACAGCATTTAATGTGAAGTCATTGTGGCCAGAAAATAATCTTGTTAGGCTTTAATTAAAAGCACAAGGTATTTTTTCACGTCTCCTCCTTATCTGTCTCCCTCTTTTAAATCTCTTCCTCTTCCATATTCTCCCTACCCCACCCCCTCTGCCTCCTCTTCATCATCTTTGAACATTTAAAATGTTTTGGGCTTGGCTAATCCCTATGGATAGAAACTGAGCTGAGCAGGATATTGATTACCAAATATGGTATTGCTGCTAAAGATATCAGAGGAATGTGGCTTGTATTCTAAGCCTCCAGCCTATGAAAAAGCTGCCAAACAAATTAGGTCATTTTAACTTCTTAGCTTTTTTAATAAGGAGCTGGAACTTTGATTTGGAACATGATGGTGGTGCTATTTTCTCTCAGTGGAGGAGGGGTGTAAAGAGGGGGGTGGGAGGTGGGGGAGACTCCCTTTGGTGTGTTTTAGGACCTGAGCCACCAGCTTAGGTTATGTAGGAGGCAAGCACATGTGTGGAGCCTCAGCTGACTCTGAAACACCAGTGAAAAAGCTGAGGCATCAAATTCAGATATGCAGCCTCATTACCTGAGGCTGGAAGCTCCAGAGGACTGACCGGTCCCAGGATGTTCTCCTTGCATTGCAGTGGCCCAGGCCACAGTGCTCAGGTTGATGTGGCTCAGGTTTAGGAAAGCTGCTTCTTCATAAAGAGGTTCATGGAGTTTAGTGCTGGTGAGGACATACTGAAACTGATGGCAGGTTGTCACATGTGTGCCTGAGGGTGTGTGATGTGAACATGCAAATTCTATCACAGCATACTTTAAATGACACACAGGGACTGCGCTTGCCTCCCAGAAAGACCACAGCCTTCGGGTCCATGTTTAGAAATGTTTATTCTGTTGTGATATTAGTGCTCATAGAGTAAAATGCTCTTAAGTAGAGTGGATGGGAGCAAACACTGCTTCAGAATTTTGCTTTGTTCTTTTTCCTTATACTGTATACATTTTTAGCAATATAATACTAAGGTTTCCCAGATTAAAACAAAAACTGAGACCAGTTAAAATAATTTTTTTCTGTCTCATATAACGCACTTCTTTTCACTTTTTGTTGTTGGTTAGGGCTGCACAACGAGAGTCCCTTTCTTCCCCTCCCCCCGCCCCCCACACACACCTGTTTGCCAACTTCAGTTGGTTTCTTCTAAGACAGCGGTTCTCAACCTGTGGGTCACGACCCCTTTGGCGGTCGAACGACCCTTTCACAGGGGTCGCCTAAGACCATCCTGCATATCAGATATTTACATTACGATTCATAACAGTAGCAACATTACAGTTATGAAGTAGCAATGAAAATAATTTTATGGTTGGGTCACAACATGAGGAACTGTATTTAAAGGGCCAGAAGGTTGAGAACCACTGTTCTAAGAGAATCTTAAATCAGGCCCACAGAGAAATTCCACCCACCAGGACATCTGGGTCAGGCTCTGGCCTTTGTTGTACCTCTCAGAGGACCTGTCTTCCCTCTCTCTCCCCCACTTTATTTCTCTTACTGCTGTTTCCATCCACTCACAAGCTCTTCCTCCCATCTTTGGAACTGAGCCTGTGAAATTCAGTTGTTCATCCTGATCAGCAGAGTCAGAGATTCTTCCTAATTTCCTGTGGAAATTGCTCTTGTTTTTCTTCAAGCTAATCAAGGAGAAGAGAGGGGGCTTTGGGGCCCACAGGCCTACCTGTGTTCTTTAGGATAGTCATTTTCAGAACTTCTTTCCCAAAACATATACAGACAAACCTGGGACCTAAATCTGATTTTGGTGCATATTTATACACTATACTGGGGTATCTTTTTGATGATATGGTTTGTGTTCAGAATGCCGGTTATTGGACATAGGTGTCATGAAATGATTTGTTATGCTTAGCAATGGAGGCATTCTTGGATGGTGGGGGGGAGGGGCAAAATACACTTATCTTGCCCTAAATCAGCGGTTCTCAACCTGTGGGTCGCGACCATCGGAAAACACATATAGCATATCAGATATTTACATTACGATTCATAACAGTAGCAAAATTACAGTTATGAAGTAGCAATGAAAATAATTTTATGGTTGGGGGTCACCACATGAGGAACTGTATTAAAGGGTTGTGGCATTAAGAAGGTTGAGAACCACTGCAAATCTTGTATTTTATAGTGTATGTGATTTATTTCATTGAATGTTTTTGTTTTAGGTAAACTGAAATAATTCGGTCAGGGTAATTGAAATGACTATCCTCTCTCTGGCCCATACAATCTGTTGTTTCTCTGTGTAGCTAATAAGCCAGCTATAATCAAGATCAGGACTTAACCACATCAAGACATTTAGATTTTATATAAATTTATAAGGCAACTGAAATTAAATGATACTTGTTATATTGAAATCTTAAAACTGTTTAATTCCTGTCTTAGTAACTCTGAGTACATGCGTCACTGTTATGAAAGCTCTCCAGTTAGATAGGGATGGGAATTTCCCTCTGTAAGCTGAGGCATTGAAGAATCGCATTGTTTAAGTGAAATAAAGTGATTGCTGAGAACTAATCGCATTGTTTAAGTGAAATAAAGTGAGAGCATACCAGTGTCAGTACGCGGGTCAGGCCTGGGCCTTTTATTATATTTCAGGAGTTAGACTTTCTAGTATTGCACAGGGTTTTACACTAACCTTTTTACTCTTATTGGTAACCATTAATTGAAGTGTTTATCTGTGCTCATAATTTGCTGGTCTAAGTTTAACACTTGAATTTGAAAGTTTTTGTCCAAGAGGAAAAGCCATGAAGGAGAGTTGAAAACCCATGTAACTAAAAAAGAAATAAACGAAATCTCCCTGGCTTTCTGGACTTGTTGGGTTATGAGTTTTCATGCATCCTGTGCAAAGTAGCGGGAATGAGAGCTCTTGCTGACTTTTTTTCTTTTTCAGATAGGCCAGGATTTACTGGTGTGTTTATTTTGTCATCATTCCGGTTTGACTCTAAGGAAATAAAAACATCTTCCATTTGTTCTTTTATTTCCAAAGGGCATCCGCTTCGATCCTGAAATTCCGCAAACACTACGACTAGAGTTTGCTAAGGCAAACACGAAGATGGCCAAGAACAAACTAGTAGGGACTCCAAACCCCAGTACTCCTCTGCCCAACACTGTACCTCAGTTCATTGCCAGAGAGCCATGTAAGTGGATCTACTTTTCATTTTTAAGGAAAACAAAAACGAAAAATGGATCACTAAGACTAGCTTATGTGCTGCATGTGAGAGCATACCATGGGACGGAGCTGGCTGAGGATGATGTTCATTTCCGTGGAGAGGCTGCCTATTCGTGCTGTCCGAACTCCAGATACGGCTGTCTTGTTTGTGATTGGCTGTCTCAAATGATGGTTCGGCTAGATCAGAGCTATAACTACAAAATTTGGATGTGTTGTAGATTTCCTTAATGGTCTTAACTTTATCGTGAGTATTCCCTATTTGCCTTGGAGTGTAAACCCTTTTTTATTTCCCCATTCTTGGACATGACAGTTAGTTCTCAGCAATCACTTTATTTCATTCGTTGGAGAACATCAGTTCTGCGGTTTGGGGAAAATACAATGTTAAAAGTGAAAGAAGCGGATATTAAGAAATTTATTCTATTTTTGAGAACAGTTTGGTCATAAATCTCAGGGGGAAAGTAAACACAACAAAGCATTTATATATTGGACCAATCAGTTCCAGCAAACTAATGCCAGTAAAGATTTAAGGAAATCTGGGGCTTTCTGTTTTAAATTAATTGGGTATTAACACTTGACTAATTGCTAAACAAGTATTTTACCCCACTTCATGAGCTTATATCCTTAAATGTCCAGGCTACAATTTCGGTGTTTGATTGAAAAGCTTGTCTTAATTTTCTTTCTCAAGCTCAATCACTAGCAGAAGTGCGACGTGAGATGGCCTCAACTTGTCCTTTCATTGCGTAGCTGTGTGTGATTAACTATGGCAGGGCATTCGGGAATCCCAAATGACTTGCTGTTATTTGGAATATTCCTATACTCTCGTTCTTCATCTTCTCAAACCACATGATCTTCATCTCCTTCCTGCGCTCTCTGACAATATGTTCCAACTTTTCTTATTGAAATTGAAGATCACATGGGCTCCTTTCTTCCCCTGTCATGTGCCTGTCAGAGTTAATCAGGTTACTTTGGAAGTTGCAGTCATTCTGTAGCTCAGTCACTCTTGAGAAAGCTGCTGCTTGTTGGTGGAAACTAACAGATGAAAGACTTTCTCTCCCAGTGTGTTCTAGAATTTTTCTGAACAAAGGAAAATTAATAGTGATAACAGAGAAAAAAATTTGTTCTTCCATGTCCTAGGGAAATGAAATCTTTGTTTATTTGGAAAGGAAATCTAAAAGAAAGTTTCATTTGAAGGTGTAGGGGCACTAAGGGAGTATGTATAGACATTTCTTACATAATTCTGTATCCCTACAGCATCTAGCTCAGTACCTTGTATATTGCATAAATTTATAAATATTAAATAAAAAAATTTTAATTTAGCTACTTGCAGAATTATTCCATTTGTATGACTTTTTTCTGAAAATTTTTTTCTCTTAATTAAGGCATCAGAAAAGAGTATTTGTAGGATACTTTGATTTAGAAAAGATAACCTAGAGCAGTGGTCGGCAAACTCATTAGTCAACAGAGCCAAATAACAACAGTACAACGATTGAAATTTCTTTTGAGAGCCAAATTTTTTAAACTTAAACTATATATGTAGGTACATTGTTATTAACTTAATTAGGGTACTCTTAAGGCTTAGGAAGAGCCACACTCAATGGGCCAAAGAGCCACATGTGGCTTGCGAGCCGCAGTTTGCCGACTTTACTTTTTGGAGAAATTGCCTGCCTCAGACAGGAAGTGGAATGCTTGCCATACTTGACCCTTTCAGTTCTTTATACAGTGCTTTCTCTGAGAAGTCAAAATGTTTTCTAAGTCTGCTACAGCAGCTCTATGAAACAGGTAGCCAGCAAGGTGATAGCCAGTTCACAGCAGGGTACACAGAAGCAATGGAGATGAACAAAGCAAACATCCACAAATCCCTGAAGTCACAGGAAAACTTAGTTGAGTTTAGACACTGCTTTGGCCCCCTCTGCCTACCTCCCTTCCCTGTGTACAGGACAACTCAGAAGTGCTCAGATAGTTTCTATGGTGGGGTCAAATCTTGCCTGTCAGCCCTGCTGGGGTGGCTCAGTGGTTGAGTGTTGACTCATGAACCAGGAAGTCACTTCCTGGTTGGTGCACATGCCCAGGTTGTGGGCTCGATCCCCAATAGGAGGGAGCGTGCAGGAGGCAGCTGATGAGTGTTTCTATCTCTTTATCCCTCTCCCTTCCTCTTTCTCTAAAATCAATAAAAACACATTTTTTAAACAAAAAACAACCCTTGCCTGTCTGCTCATGGCACAACAAACTTGAAGCTAAAAAAAGAAATCCAACAAGCCGTATATTCTTGAGAAAATAAAAGTTAGCATGATTTTTCTTAATATAGCTCCTTTTACGACATAGAGGCCTTGACAAACAGCAGTTCCACTGTGACTCAGATCGACCTTATCATCTATTACCATTCCCTCTTGAATTGATAACTTCCCTGTCATATACACAGAATTGTCACTTTTCCAGAAGCATACTGCAGACTAAGAACAGTGGTGGTTCTGAACTGGCGAATCCAGTGATATTTGCACACAACTGGTGCTCTAGGTGAACGGTTTAATTGCCTGTCAGGAATAGACTTGCCATGGAATCATAGACTTTGAGAGTTGGAGAAACGTTATAGGTGTCCCTGTTGTAGGCCATTAGGGAGAGGTTTTTTATAAATGCTTCTCTAACATCAATAAAAAATATACAGATTTTTTAAAAAGCTTTCAGCCCAAGGGGTTGGTGATAGTTGTCAGGAAACTCGGCTTTTACAAAGGCTATAGAAGATTCCTTGCAGCTTAGTCTAGATTGCTCCAAATCAAACCATCATATTTGCTGAGCACTGGCTCTGTTTGTGGTAAGCGTGAAGATTGAGAAAACCAGGTATTGCAGCTTGCCAAGGCAGAGATGGTGGCCTCAGTGGAGAACCTTGGTCTTAGACTTGAAGATGTCAGTGAGAGTTCTGACTTTGCCAGTTAATCATCAAGCTTTGTGACCTTAAAAAAAATTAACCTTGTTATGTTCCTGTTCCTTCAACTATAGAAAGGGAATAATACCTTTTCATGACTATAGAGCTAAATAAAACACCATATGATTGTGTTGCGGATTAAATGGTTGTAATATATGTAGAGTACTAGGCAAATGTTAAGTACAATCTTTTTAAAAAAAAAAATTAGTTTTAAAGAAAGAGGAAAGGAAATAGAGAGAAACATCAGTGTGAGAGAGAAACATCAATCAGTTTGACCCCCAATAGGGATCGGATCTGCAACCTAGGTATGTGCACTGACTAGGAATCAAACCCACAGTCTTTTGGTATGTAGGATGATGCTCCAACCAACTGAACTACTCAGCCAGGGCAATCTTAATTTTTTTAAAAAGCACTCAGTTGTTTTCTTTCCTAATAGTTAAAAGTAGATATTGATCTTATGAGGTATCATCGCTGTATGACTGTATCCAATTGTCTTTGCAAATTAGGAGAAAGGATTAACAAAGTTCACATACAATCTCAGGAAAGTAGTACATTTCCCTAACTAAATTTTTATTAATTTGAGCTTCCCCTTCTCGTACTCTCTTTTATATAATAAAGTAAGGAAAATACTAGAAGAAAGAAAGAGATGTAGAAAAGTTATCCTACATAATAAAAGGCTAATATGCAAATCGACCAAATGGCAGAATGACCGGTTGCTATGCAGGAGCTGCCCCCTGGTGGTCAGTGTGCTCTCACAGGGGGAGCATAGCTTAGCCAGAAGCCCTGAGCCAGGCTTACGGCTGGTGAGTGCAGCGGTGGTGGTGGGAGCCTCTCCCGCCTCCGCGGCAGTGCTAAGGATGTCCGACTGCCCTACAGGGAGTGGGCCTAAGCCGTCAGTCGGACATCCCCTGCGGGCTCCAGGACTGCGAGAGGGCACAAGCTGGGCTGAGGGACCCCCCCTACCCCCCGCCCTAGTATTGGAATTTCGTGCACCAGGCCTCTAGTGTTATATAAAATTCTTCTAGATTATCCATTTGATTGTACAGAAAAGTCATGTTCTGTAGTATAAGTACTCAAGAGATGAAAACAGGGCAACTCACCGTCACTCTGATTTTTGTTTTTCTCAACCATATAATGATAATACTCTGTGCCAGACACTGCTAAACATTTTACATGAATTATCTCATTTGATTCTCAATAGCACTATTTTACATTTGAAGAAACTGAGACATAGGAAGGTTCAGTAACTTGCTTGAGATTACATAGTCTTCACGTGTTATGGATTGAATTGCATTCTACCAAAATTCGAATGTTGAAGTCCCAGCCTCCAGTAGCTCCAAATGTAACCATATTTGGAGGGAGGCCTTAAAGGGGTGAGTAAATTAAAATGAGGCCATTAGGGTGGGCCCAATATGACTGGCGTCCTTATGAGAAGAAAAAGAGATACCTGGGATGTGCTCACAGAGGAAAAGCCATGTGTGAACACAGCAAATAGGCACTGCAAGCCATGGGCAGAGGCCTCAGGGGAAGCCAAGCCTGCTGACACCTTGACCTTGGACTTCTAGCCTCTAGAACTCTGAGAAAATTAATTTCTATTGTTTAAGCCACTCGGCCTGTGGTATTTTGTTACGGCAGACTAATACATCAAGTGATAGAGCCTGTATTTAAATTCTGGTCTGTCACTTCATCAGTTTTATAACTTTGGTCTAGTTACTTAAACTCTGGGTCTCATCTATAAAATGGCAATAATAATTGTATCTCCCATAGGGTTGTGAGAATTGAATTAATTGACATATGTAAGTTAGAAGAGGGACACGTAATGAGCACTCAGTTACTGTTAATATGTGCATGTCAGAATATCTGTGCCTTTTGTCCCTCATAGTTGTGAGGGTGGAAGTAGCCAGCACTCACAGAGCCTTTACTCTGACTCCATAGATTCCCCCTTTCAATTCAAATTTTATGGAGCAAATGTCAGAAAGCTCTAGACCAGACCCATAGAATCAGAATTCTTGGCATTGGACTACAGGAATCTAAATTACTGCCAAGTT